AGTCTCTGGGTCTCATTGTTCCAGATGAGGGAGTCAGTCTTAAGAGTGTTTGGCACTGAAGGGAAAAAGGAGTGAGAGTTATAGGGAATGAACAGGCCCTAAAGAGGCAGGATGCTGTTGTAACAATGGCTGGCACAGTTGGGGGGGCCATTCGCTGGTGGGGATTGCTCTAGTCATTGATGTGAAGAAGCATATGTGAGCAGAAGAGGCAAGGGTGAGAAGGAAAAGCAAGCGAACATATCAAAAGAGTCCAGTTGGCAAAAAAGGACAAAAGTGGTCTAATTAAGAGTCATATTCATTTTAATATGCTGATAAAGTTATCTTTCATACCTCTCCAATCTATCTCCGAGTTTATTTCTTGACATTAATTTAATTTTCTCTTTTCAAGTATATACATATTTGCCTTTCCCTTAAAGAGACAGATCCTTGAATTAAAGAGTAGTTGGTTTCACATTCCACCTGTTCTACTGTCCACCCAGGTGATGTCAGGCAAAGTAGCTTTTGAGCTTTAATTTTCTCATAAATAAAGATAAAGATTATAAATAAAGGTAATAATATATACCATTGGCAAAAATTTTGTTTGCATCTAACATCATTCAGCAAATGAAATGCTTTACAACTAACAATAACAATTATTATTCCACACATTGATTTTAATATAGGGAGCCCTAATTTTTATTTTCACACTAACTGTGATACTCCGATGCTTGGGAGAAGTAAATCTCAGGAAACTCTTTAAAAGTTTTTAAATTAAAGTTAGGTATATTTTAACATGAAAATAATGGGTAATCCAGAATTTGGACATTTGGAAATAATTAAGCACACAAACATTCCTTACACACAGTATAAAATACAGTTCAATATATATTTATAAAAACACATTGCACTTTAGAAATGGAATATTTAATAGATTACTAACTCTTTTACTCCAAAAGCTCTGAAGCAGCACTTACATATTAAATTTTTCAAATTGTGTCAAATTTCACCTTACTCATATTCATGCATTAATGAACAGCTGTATTATAAATATTGGGATTTTGCCATTTAGACTTTTACATTTCTAATTATGAATATTCTATAGAATCTTTACCATTTTTAGAGAAATTTCAATCACTTGTAAATGTCCGTCCATTGTGCTCATTGTTGTGAGATCATTTCTTGCCACTCCTTCATGCACTTCCAACGGGAACAAATTGAAACCGTTGTGGCTGACAGAACACCAGATGTGGGTTTGTTTAAGCTCTGTGTTTCACAGTAACCGGATAGAGAGACGATGTGGGTGAGATGATGTGCTTTTGGTCCCTCCGAGCCACCCAGTGTCAAAGTCTTGGTGAGAGCCCAGGTTGTTTGACTTATAGCCCAATAGTCTTTCCACTATATGAATGCATTTTCAATTTGTTGTATTTCTCTGCCAATGGTCATAGGTTTTCCTTAAATTGTCCAGGACTCTAAAGTGCGAAGTCGTATTGTGGGACTATATCCCGAACACAGAGAAGTGTAAGAAATCTTGGCTTTTAATCCCACCATACAGCTCATGTGTTACATGTCACCCGCAGAATTCAAATTATCTTTTCAAGTTTTTACTTCATCCATCCAATGGAGTTAATAATGTTGAGACTGGGAAACTTTCCCCATACCCCTCTCATTCTTCTGGCTGTTTGAATAATTCAGACAACATATAGCAGATTAACAGGAGAAAATAAAATTTTAATACAAATGCATGGGGAATTCACATAACATGACATTTCCAAAGACAGTGAGGCAAAAGGCGGTTTATATGTCATGTTGGACTAAGGAAGGGGGAGGTAGGAAATGTGCAGGTAGATGAGAAAGAGCAAACATTTGGTAAAAACAAATTCTTGCAGGGTCACGTGGAAACAATGGGACACACAGGGGACTCTAGTGAACAGGTTTTTGCCACACTTACGCGCTAAGCTGAATATTCTCCAGTGCCCTTCCTGTAGCAGGTATTTCCGTCTGAATCTTTTTTGGCACGTAAGGGGAAGTAAAACAAACAAACAAACAAAACTCTTCTTGTGTTTGTTGGGCTTTAATTGTTTTCAGCTAGAAATGATCTGCTTGCCAGGGTGGCACATTCCGGGGAGACTCCTTCAGATCCCCACAATGAGAATAGTTCTCCATACTATCCACACTTGTTTTGCGGATGTGTGTGTACTAGAAAGAACTAAGACTTTGAGATTCGATACGTTGAACTAACTCCATATTGGGCAAGTAGTGATAGTTCCCTAAACTTTGGTTTCTTAGATCTTAAAACAGATCTACCAAACTCTAATTCGGAAAATTATCATGAGAAGTGTAAGATGCCACGTGCAGAGGGCCTGGTACAACGCATTGCATTTCGCCCTCAATACAGCACTCTCCTGGAGACGTCATTGTGGACGAGCACCTTACGATTTGCAGGAGAAAAAACGAAACAATACAGAACTTAGTTCAAGACTCAGCTCTACCCATTGCATTTTGTGAAACCTCAGATAGGTGCTTTCTTCCTCTTTTTTAAACCTGTAAAATGGATATGATAACACAATCTGAGTCTTCAGGTTTTGCTGTGATCAAATGAGAATACAGGTGAAAGCATCTAGTGTAGTCCCTGGCACATAGGCTGCTCGATAAATGTTTATTGAATCTGAATTGAAAGTATATACCTCATCCAAATCGCAGATATTAGTGTCTTTATTCAGCCACAGACATGACAACCCCGAGTTAGATGTGTTTCCGATTTTACATCTTTCAAATGACTTGGTCTTAAAGAAGTTATTCATTTTTCTGTAGTCTAGGTTAAAAGTTGGGGGCTGGAAAAAAAGCCGCTCTGTATATGAGCCTTATATCTCTATGCAAGTTAATAAAGAGGCCAGGAAATGTTCTGCAGGTTTCAGAAATCTGGTGGCTGTTTCTTTAACTCTGCAACTTAGACAGAAGACTTCTGTTTCTTTATGAGCACACTACAGTGAATATTTTGTCTAGCTGCAGGGGAAAAGCTTTGTCATGGACTTTGCAGACAATAGCCTTAAAAGTAAAATGGTCTGCTTTTGGTGCCTGGAGGTTCAGGGGCCTATTGTTCGTGTACAATAGATTTCTATTGCTGCATTCCTGCTTTGCAAAAGGTTTGTTAGCTTTTAATGACTGACAGTACTCTACTGCAAATACCATATTGGCTGTGCCCTGTTTACATGCTTCTCAAGAATTTTTGTGGAGTGCTAGAGAAAAAGAAGCAGTGGTGTTTGTTTGACCTACTCTGATAAGGTTTAAAAAATAATTCCACTCATGAAGTGTTTACTGGGAAGGTAGAAACATTAGAAATCCTTGCAGAAGTATTTAAAGTTACCTTTAAAGCCTCAATAAACAGAAGTATTGATTACAGGAAGAATATATTTAATCCATGTTATTGCTCATATACTTGTCATTACCATTTTAAAAACAACATGGCATAAAAAAGGAATATTTTAAGAAAAAAGTGAATTCTTTAGGATCTTTTCCTTGAATGTGAAAAATTGGAAATGTATATTTTGTTACAAAGGAAAAATATACATTTCACACATCCTACAGGTAAATATGCACACAGTAGTTGTGATATACATAATTTTCACCGTACATACGGACTATGTAAAGTGGTAATCCTTCAGCGTTTATTCACCATTTTATTATCCACAAGTTTTTGACACCTGAACACAAAGCATCCCACATTGTTACAGTTATTCCAAGGAATATGTCACCTTCACTTTGTTGAAAACTGCACACAGGCTTTGTGATTCTGGTAAGTGATGGTATAAGATCACAGCCGCAAGAAAAGTAGGTAGCATTAGCTAAAGATGACAATGAGGTGCCTAAAAACGCATGTGATGTGGGGAAAATTAACCAGTTTCTAATAATCGTATGGTCTCTAGGCCAGACGGTCCCTTTGATAAGTTAACATGTACTCCCTTTATGCTCCTAGTGGGGGGTAGACAAATGTCTGCACAAACACAAATACACATAAACACCAATAGGGAGAAAGGCTGTGTGCGTCTTAGCTCCAGATAATAAGTGTGGGTATTGTTATTTAGATGGAGCATACTGGGATACTTATCTTTTAGTACACTCCGTTTTCTCACTGAATGCAGCGCTAATCGTGGGATTGAAAGCCATTGTAATTGTGTACCCATCTAAATGCCGACAAGAACGTACAATTACATTGTTTGGAACGCAGTTTAATGTTTGGGAGTTTTATTAGAATTGATATTTACTTATACATTAAAATTCGGACACAAAAGCAGAGGTCAGAACCATGTGATATATAGGAACAAATGATCAGACTAAAGCATAACTTTGCTCTCTGAAATATGTGTGCCCTGTCCCAGTCCAGGGCATTTTACAAAGAGTGTGACACAAATCTGAAGGAAGCAAATAATAGGTTTTCATTAGAGACATTACTCACTTCTCCAGATTTTGCAATCTTTGTAATGCATTTTTGTACCAACTTTTTTTTTTTTTTAATGTTTGGGGCAAATCTTTCCACAGTGTGCTTACCACCACACGATGTTAAACACATATTATAAAGTGGATGTAATTGTAAACACACAGAGGGATATAATTACATGTAGCAGATTTAAGAGCTAATTCTTTGCCTTTTTTTTTTTACTCTGCATTTTATCAACATAATTATTTTTTGACTGCAGACTCACACGCTGAAATTGACAAGCATCCATTATAACAGGAATTTATTCACCAAATTGAAAAACAATGAACTGCAGGTTTCTATGTACCCATTGTCATAAAGAATTAGAAGGGCTTTATTCTGCAAGAGGAAAAAGCTAATGATTTTGAAACAGCAGGTGACAAAACGCATTCTTTTTCTCCTCCCCTGTTATCAGTTTGTTGATGAAATCATTATGAACTGGGGCTGGGATAGGGATGGCCTTATTTTTAGCAGATAGACTTTTAATGAGCTCCATTGTAAAGAGAGTCATGTTGATTTGCTTACATTTTTTTTCTTCTTTACTTAGAAACCCCCAGTATTGAAAAGCTACTATCAAAGGACTGGAAAGACAAGCTTCTTGCAATGGGATCAGGGAACTTTGGTGAAATAAAAGGTAATCTGTTTGCAATTATTTTGATCCAAAAATCTTACAAAATGAAGTTAATTTTTAGGAGCATGAATGGTAGTAAAGTACTTCCCCCCTCTCCTGCCTCCTGCGTTCCCTGTCTTTGGTGTTTCTTCTTTCTAGCTTGAAAGTGGACGTTTCAGTGGCCTTGTGTCCTCTCTTTGTGCCTTATGGGATAAGTGGCAGTTGTTTTAATAGAATATCCTTTTTAAAAAAATGTGTTTTATTTCTTACCCAAGGATATTTTTCTATTTATTTACAGACAGAGTTGGGGGAGGGGGAGGAGAGCAAGAGAAACATTGATGCAAAAGAGACACACTGACTGGCTGCCTCCTGCAGACCCTGACCAGGCCTGGGTCTGAACCACTACCAAGGAACATGCCCTTGACCAGAATCGAACCCATGACTCTTTGGTCCGTCGGCCAACGCTCTAACCGCTGAGCTGAACTGACCAGGGCTCACGATATCTTTAGAAGGCTTGGGTTTTCACCATTTAAAAACATTTAGGTGATTTACTTTTTTAAGTTGTATCTAAAGTGGGGTTGAAAACTGCATATTAGGAGGGGATTTTCTACATTCTACATATTAGATGTATGAATGTACATCATCTACATTTGAAACCAGAACGATGATTGAGGAACACTTAAAAAAATGTTGCTTTGTACTAATAAGGTCAATGTTTTTGTTTCTCTTTGTTTTTTTTAATCAGAAATTACATACAACTAAGAGGGAAGTTCTATACAGAATTCAGATATTACTGAATATTCATAGTTTAATAAACTTTTACTAATAACAAGGGGAGAAGATTCAGTTTCACATAAAAATATAGTCAAATGTTCCTTTTAAATTAGTTTAAAAGTATGTTTTCTGAGAGCATCATAGGCAGTCTGTGGTTTTCTATTTGTTGCGAATTGTTACTTTTGATTCTGAGTTCTCAATGATAATTTTTTAGGAAAAAATACTTATCAATATTAAATCATTGTTATAGTTACTCTGTATACTTCATGATAGGTAGGGACTGGATATCTTTTTAAAATAGCACCAGATTTATATTAATAGGCATGTAGAAATCTGTGTGTAAGGAACTTTTTGCGTATGTGTGCGTGCTCATGTGTTCTCCCTAGAGAGGGGCCATTGTCTCTCCCAGGGCCCCACATCAGAGCCTCCGGGAGGGAGGCAAAGCGTAGCTCCGTCCTCTCTAAACCTCTCAGTAATTTGATACTTTCAGAAAATGCTTGACTGAGTATTTCACTTTTCATCAATATATTTGGAGTTGCCGTGCATTCAGGCTATGATTAGGTGTGAGTGGGTGATGAGAGAATAAATAGGTGCGAATCAACAAAATCTGTAATGGAATCCAATGTAAACAAATAATACCATGCCCTAAAGGGCTTGAAGACCCCGTTGAAAGAGAACAAAGAAGTTTCTCTTTCTGAGGCAGCGTATCCCTTATATTATTTTGTTGGACTTGAAGCCATTTGTACCTGAGATAAAGGATGTGTTAGTCTCCCAGGTTTTCTCCTCTGACCTAGGTGATCACTGAGAGTAGAGCAGAGGAGACCGGCTGTCCCCCCGCCTTGTGATCTCGTTCCCTTGGAGGACAGACGTGTGTCCCTCCCTTGTTTTCCTCACAAGTCAGACTTAAAAGCAGCGACAGCAGTGATGAGAAGCTCCGAGGAAAGAACTCAGCCTTCCTTTCAGGCTTGCCGGTGGGGCTGGTCAGTTCACCAAGCCGCAGTGCAGTCACAAAAGAAGTTTCTGGCTTTAATTTTGAGTTTTTTAAGCTTCACATTCAGAGCACAAGTTTGGTTATTGTCCTCGGGTTCTGTTCAAAAAGCTGTTTTCTGATGCATTTTAAAAGCAACTGTAGACCTTTCTTCTGTCGGGGGCACGGTTATTAGGTGCTCAGAGCAGGTTTGGCAGAGGACGGGAGGATTCGCTCCGTGGCTTTCCCTGCTGACCGCCCTGAGGGCTGCAATTACTGTCCATTGTTCGTAGGTGGCTAGAGAGTGGAGAGGGTACAATAGTGTGTTGCCCTCTGGGGGTAAATAAATTTGACTTAATGCTTCTTAGGGGGTCAGATTTGATGATTATGGGGTGCCCAGGAATGTGGGTTTTTTTTCATGCCACCTCAGAAGTTAGACAAGAACAATGGCTTAGCTGTTTGGCAGCTGTTTTTTTGTTTTTCAATTTTACGAGGCAAATAAAGGTGTAAGTCTCATGGACGCGTGCGCTGTTTTGGGTCAGGGTAGGGAAGGCTAAGAATGAGCTTTTTTATCTGAACATATGAACTTATTCCATTATTAGATGATTTATTAATGATACCTGAGAATGATTATGTGAATAGCATCTTTGCATGTATCACAGTGTGTATAGCCTCTACAACATTTACCTGGTCTTGTAGAGTGGAACTTTTCTCCTCGGTCACACTGGTCAGTTTTCATTTAACTTTTATTTTATTTTTTTATTGACTTTATTGGGGTGACACTGGTTAACAAAATTATACAGGTTTCAGGTGCACAGTTCTACAACCCATCATCTGTGCACTGTTTGAGTGTTCACCGCCCCACGTCAAGTCTCCTAATTAGTTCCAGGAAAAGTGCGAGTGAGTGTGTGTGTGTGTGTGTGCACGTGCGTGCGTGCGCATCAACATGCACCTCTTGAATATCTAAGACTGTAGCCAAGTGAGGACCGCGCTCAGTTCCTAAGTGCTGGCTTCATGTTGCTGTGAGTGAATTACTTTCAGGGCATGTGGACAAAGATTAAAATTACGGCTTGGCAAAGTTCAAAGAAGTGTTCCTTCCCATTGAAAAAGTAAATATGATAAGCTTTTAAAAGTAGGAAAAGTAAATAGTGTTTGGCTTGGATAGTTTAGCTATCAATAAACTGTTGTCATCCCCGCTTAAAGTCAGTCTCACTTTTAAGAAACAATGTGAGTTAGTAAAGGTCACCACTTTTAAAAGCATAAAATTATTTTCCGGGATAGATTATTTTGCCTGTAAGAATTGATTCCATTTTATGGTCTGGTACTTTGGAAATGTGAAGTAATTAGGTGTTAAAGTTACATTAGAAACAATCCTCTTTAGAAAACATATACACACAAAGGACACTAGATCCAGTTTTGCAGAACAAAACAGTTTGACTACCTGAAGAAATTATTTAATTCTTCTTCCCTAATCAGCCATAGAGTGTAACTGGCCAGTTTATAGTGTTTTTGCCCTTATCTAAAGCAAAAGCACTGAGTAAAGTTTTAGTGAAAGATAAAGCAATGCCTTTTATAGCCTCATAGTTATTGAAAAGGGGAAAACACAGTGCCTGTGTCCCAGCTGACAACCAACTGTGGCACATACCGTTTCAGCCTGCGTGAAGTTCCATGTCACTGAATGTCACTCCATTGGCACTTCGCCTGAGGACAGCGTTGGGCGATCCAAGGTGGCTTTGATGGATCTGAACAGATTACTCATTTTTCAGTAAAGTCATACTGACTTAAATTTATTTGTAGAATTATAACAAAAACTATCTGCATGCAAAATTCTTTCCAGTAGCATTTCTATCTTGGTGAGGTTATAAACGAAGACCCTTGTTTGAGAGGCTTTCTGGCTAGGCCACTCTGAAATGCCTAGATCAGTTTCTCTACTAGACTTCTTTGAAGAATTCTTTAGAGCATGGTTTCTTTCCCATCGGTGTCCCGGGTAGACCCTTCTCACCCTCCTCAGAATGCATTGATTTGGGCACGCAAAGTGTGCTGTCTGGTGTTAAAGAGAACACCAGCTGAAGTTAGTACTGTGCAGTAGAAATGGGCTGTTCTTGGATGCTACAGTTTTCTTCTTTCGAGAAGTTGGGACAGAAAGGCAAAGACCAAACAGCTTTATAATGCCAGTGATGGATTCAAGGTAATAATCAACTCAGTCATACTATGGCCTTTCAGAACTGGTGGACAAAAGACATCCTATGTGGATTCAACAGGTGGACTAAAGTAGATCCTCTCTTAGGTGAATTAGCAGTCTGAGATAAAAGACATATGTTGATTCAGTATGTGGCTTGAAAGAGACAATTCTGTTTAAATAACATTAGACAATCTGAAAACAAGGAGGCTTGGGATAAGAATCAGACCCCATATGATAAATTAGAGGGGGATCTACCTTTCTCTCTCATTGGATAAGAGTGCCAATAAAAGGAGCTTTAGTTGTTAAGTTTAGACTAACTTAAGTTAGTCTCTTTATTCAGTATATTTTCAGTTCATTCAACAAATACTGCTATCTGGATGGATCTGAGTTTTAGTGATGGAATTGTTGATTGAATGATTGACTGATTATCTCTTTCATTTAAATGCAAAGTCTATGAAGCTGACATTCTTGTCTGGCTTGTACCCTGTAGCATCTCTAGCACCTAGACTGGTGTAGACATATGGGAGGAACTCTGTGGATTTATGCTGAATGAATTAAAGAAAAGAGCCAGTCATTTGATGTAGTCCTCAATTAAGGATGATTTTGCCCTACCAGGGGAAATTTGGCACTTTCTGGAGACATTTTGCAGAGTGTGATAACTAGATGGAGAGTACTATCAGCATCTAGCCAGAGACACTAAACACAGCTCCCCAGAAAAATAATTGTATGGCCCCAAATTTCAGTAAGTGCCTAGATCGGGAAACCTTCATCTAGGGGAATAGTTCTCCAGGGGAAACAATCGGATGGGAGCATGTTTGCATATTGGTTTTAGAGCAACTCAGAGAAGGTCATGTGACTGAACACTTCTGCAGAAGAGAAAGTGGAAGGTAATGATTCCATAGAAGTTGAGGGCCTGATCATTCAGGGCTTTGGAAGGGTAAGGGGTTTGAATTTTTTTTTTATCCTCACCCGAGGACACTTTTCCATATTTTGTTCAGTTAGAGTGGGAGGGGGAGAGAGAGAAAAAAACATGGACGTGAAAGGGACACATCGAGTGGTTGCCACCCGCACGACCCAACCAGGGCCAGGGACAAACTGCAA